TAACTGGCACTACAAAAACAAACAAAAAAAAGTGCCTGTTTTTCTCAAGGAGGAGGTGAGTGTTCCCTTTCCATTGCATCAGCTGCAGCAACCACAGCTCAGGCCTGGCAAAAAGCAGATAGGAGTGCAACGTGTTGCACAGTAGCTGGCAGAAACCCTCTCCTTCAGCTCACTCAACTACTCGCTATAAAAAAAACCTGCCACTTGGGTCCACTGCTAACCCTTTCACAAAAAGAAAGCCTTCAGGCTACAGAAGCGCCTTTGTTTTCTCCCTTGAACTCCCACCCACACCATGGCAGAGCACGCACTTGGAGGAGCAGTTGGGGTCCTCCTGTATGTACAACTGTCCCAAACCACCACTGCATACCAGGGCCAAGGACTTCAGGACCGATGGCCTGTTAACAGCTCTGCAACCTCTCCTGGCCTAGAGGATGACATCAGGAGGAGGAAGACTAAGAAAAGAAGGTGGAAAAGGAGGAAGGACTGGGTTTCCTGGGCATGCTCTATCATGCTCTGTGCTTCCCACGGCCCTGCTCTTCAGCCCCAGATTGCTCTCATCCCCCTGAAGCCGGCAGGGCTGGAGGCCAAAGGCCCATGATGGAGGCACAGCTGGGTTTTCCCCACTGACACAGAAGTCACATCCAAAACACACACAAACTGGGTTGTGAAAGCAGGGATTTGGCTGTTGGGACATGCCAGGTGCATAGCCACCTTACCTCTGCCCCCTTGTGCACATACAGCAGTGACATAGGCTGTACTTACATGCTATTGTTTCTGCAGAACCCTTGCCTCATTCAGCACAGAGGCAATCCCAAAACTTGTGTTTCCTGACTTTTGAAAGTATCTAAATAGTTCTCTAACATGCCTGAGTGGTGGGAGGGATCAAGCATTAGGTGCCATTTTATTTTTGCCTACATTCAGTCCTTCCTGCATGATGGTTTCATTGCCCATTACTGGAACAAGGTGCTTTACGACCCACAGTTGGTATGATTTTAAGGAGGAAATGCTTGGTCTATCCTTAAGCTTTAGGCACACAAAGTAAAAACCCGCAGTAAAGGAATTAAAATTAGGAGACAGATGTTCTCAAATAAATTAATATTTCACAATCAATTACAAATTGAACTCTGTACAAATTATGACACTGATTAACTAGAAATCGAGGCAAGTAATATATATAGTGTTTCAATCACTTTTAAGAAGAACGTGAGTCAGCCTTAAGGTCTGGATGTGGCTCTGGGCAGCCTGGTCTGGTGGTTGGTGACCCTGCACATAGCAGGGGAGTTGAAGCTAGATGATCATTGTGGTCCTTTTCAACCCAGGACATTCTATGATTCTATGATTCTTCTGCTCTTCGCTCACACTACAGCCCTCCTCAAAGACAGTCTTCTACACCTCAGATACCACTGCTAAATTTCAATCAAATCACACGCACAGAAGACAAAATGCAGGAAGAAAATGCCTCTCCGAGAAGCTTTTTAAAAATACCAAAAAAGTATCAGTACATGAAAAATGTTATCAGTGAGACCACACTTCCAGTGTTATAGGCTGGTGTCACAAAAGAGTTCATCCTTTAGCAATTCACTGATTACATGATTTCTGTATTAGAAGCTGATTACATCAAGATCTTTATGTACGCTAGGCATTTATGCTTTTTTCCCTCCTATTAATTACGTTGAATTTCAACTGTAAGAAACATCAAGACAGTAATTCTTAATGAACCTATTTTTCAGTCCACTGAACACTTGTTATATGACAAGGGTTTTTTGGACAATGAACAATGAAATGATAGGTGAGGCAATACCAGACTTGCAGTGATTTATTGTGGAAACAGAAGACCAGCTTTTGCCAGTAATAAGCAAAGAGCATAATGAGATATCAAAGAGGAAAAGCAATGCACAAAGCAGCTGCCGAAGCTCTGCTTGGTTAGCTCCTTACCCCACAAACAGCCAAAGCCCCACATTTCCCAGTCGCGACATCAGGAAGCCTCAGTGCTGGGCAGCCCCACCATCCTGCCACCAAAGGACTACCACTGGCAGGCTCACCGGTGAACTTTGTCACCTGATTACTTTGTGTCTTAGGAGCGGACATGCTGCCTCTCAGAACACGTCTTGTTTCAGGTCGATGCACCCAATTTGAAGAGAACAGTGCAATCCCATACTGAGAAGAGGAGCTGGGCGTTGTGCAGTGAGTGAGTGCACCTAGCAACCTACACAACTGCGTTGGTTCTGCAATCCGTGAGTCTCTTCCCCCTGCTGAGCCTTGGCAGCAGAGGGTCCAGCCACAGCACTAAATGCAGCTCACTCCATGCATCAGCAGCTACGTCACCTATGCAATCAGTACCCAGAGAACTGTTTTCCCCTTTACTTCCACATACTGATTCTGCTTTGTGATAAAATCACTGATTGTGCCACACTTGTGCTTCCAACTTCGGACTCGCCTTCCCTGTGGTTCAAGGTCAGAATTTCAGTCAAACTTTCCCACTCTGGATCGACAGCTGCAGCTTCAGCGTGAAGAGTTGGCTCCTTTCAGCTCACAGCTCCAAGAAATTACTAACACCTTACCCTGTATCTAGATTTCAGAGCTCAAACTGTCCTCTTTCCCAAAAAGCTGTCTTGAATCCTACCTATAAAAACTGGATGAACTCCAGGAAGATGCAACAGAATAGATGCTAAAGCATACGTGCCAAGAACACGCAACTTTCGACTAAGTTTACTTTGGATTTAAATCCTCAAAATTTCTCTGCTAAGAGTCAGAAAGTAAGCTTTCCTTGGAAAATGAATTGTGCACCTTGTAGTCAGAAGGGCTGCGCTTACACTGGGTATCAACACTGTCCTCACTCACCTGCACAGTGCCTGAGGCCGAGCTACGGCTGTGCCCCCGCCATGCTATAGAGCCGTACCCAGGAAATGGGAACCCCGACAGGGAACAGCAGCCAAGCGGTAAAGAAGAGAGACATTCCTTCACCACCGGTGCCAGCCCTGCTCCCCTCTTGGCCTTTCATTGCTCAGGCAATGGCCACTGACAGTGGGCATTTTTCCGAGCTGCAAGGTCAGCGCCTCGGAAAGACACAGGCAGTTTTAAACACAGGTGCTGCAACACATTCTAGATTCCTGCCTCAGAAAGTTACTCAGTTATTTCCCACAGTGAACACAGTTCACTGATCCAAGCTTTACTTAAGAACATCGTAACCAACACTTCCACTTTTTGTCATGCTGTAGTCACTATTCTGAAATTATCGCATGAGAACAAGGCTAATCTAGGCAAAAATCCTCCCACTGATAGGCCAGTTGGTTTCTGAAGCCCTGACAAGCCAAAGCAAGGCAGCGGGTTACTGCCGAGAGGCAAGTGTGCCTAACAGTCCTGTTCCAAGGAAGCTGCTTGTCCTTGGAACGAGCCACCCTGAACTGGGGCCGGAGGAAAGCTTTCCAAATCCGTCAGATCTGCTACAGACCTGCTAAGGCCAGCTGACATCTCTCCGATGCTACATGCACTGCCTTGTTCTGTTATTTCCAAATTCAATTTTTATTTATTTTTTTTTCATAGGAGAACGTAACGCACCAAAACACTCGGGTCACATTTTCATCGTGGTGCTTCTCCTTGGTTCGGAAAAGATTTGGAAAGCATTACACACCCTAGGCACAATACCCGCCTTCGCCCTGCCAAGAAAAACTAATGCTAGAAAAATGCTCAGATGACTTCAAACTGTACGCACATCTGTCTCTTTGTTGTTGGGGTTCTTCTACTTGTTTTCCTTGTTCTATGCTTGCATTTTGAGATTAGAAAGGAAAATGCAAACTTTCTGTAGAACTATCAAGAGTGAAGAAAAGCAGAAGTGATGCCCATGAAGCCACATGTGGTGGAACACAGCTTGCTCGGCCATCGGCCTACAGCGCCCCGTGCACCTCTATCCCAACCTACTCCCGTCCCGTCTCTTGCCTTGGATTTTTATTGCGCCCCTTGTTAAAACTTCCCACAGCTCCAAAGCTGCCAGAGGATGGCAAAGGCACTGTCCTGTAGCAGAGTTATGCTGAGATCTGATGATATAGCACACATCCAGACAGACTGTACTTTGCTGTAAGTTCGCAAAATCAGAAGTGTTCTAAAGTCCTAAAGAGAAATGTAAAAAAAGAGGAAATTCAGATACTTTTTTCCTGCTAAACTCAAAGTTTCCTTAGTCAACGTTAGGGGACTAAAAAGAGTCATTACCAAGCACTTGCTGATCAAAAATCAAGAAAAAAAAAGAAAAAGAAAAGCGAAAAAGTAACTTCCCAAACACACAACTGATCTGGGAAAAAGTACGAGTCCCTCTCACCAACTTGGCTGGTGTCAGCAGGGCTACGGGGACGAGGAACGAGGGGCAGGCTGGGCTACGAGGCACTGCGGCGGGCACGGACTAAGCGAGGCCCGGGCAGGAGCCCCGCAGGAGCCCCGCCGCAGCTCCCCATCGCAGCCACCCTCCGAGCACCTACCTGGGCCGGAAGGCGCTCCGCCCCGTCGGTCTCCGGACCTGAAGTCTGAGGCAGAGCGGCCAAGAGCGAGAAGAGGAAGGAAGGAAGGAGAAGAGCGAAGAGGCGAAGCGCCCGCGGACTCCCCACGCCGCCTGCGAGGCCGCTCTCAGGCCGGCGTGCAGCCAGGCGAGCAAGCGGCCGCCCCGGCCCGGCACCCCGCCCCGCCCCGCCCCGCGTCCGGGGCTGGCCGCGTCCCGCGCTCCGGACGGAGCGGTGGGGCCGGGGGCGGCGGCGAGGGCGGGGCGGTGGGGGCGGGAGGGCGCACCGGGCCGCGGCCCCCCCAGCCCCGAGCCCTCCGGCCCGCGGGGGAGGAGCGCGTGGCCGGGCGGCGGCGGCGGGCGAGCGGCGCCCCCAAGGTCGCGGTCGCCCCGTCCGGGGGCCGCAGCCGCCCTCCCCCCTCCGGCGGGAAGCGGCGGCGAAGTTTCCCCCGCGGGCGGCGGCGCTGCCCCCGCCCCGCCCCGCGCCCCCGGCAGCGCCGGGCGCGATGCTCACCTGGGGTCGGGGGGCAACGCGAGCGGAGGCGGCGGCGCAGCTGGTGCAGGATGACGGCGAGGCCGGCGTAGTACACCCTCAGCAAGGGCACCAGCGGAGACAATAGCGACATGGCTGCCTCCCGCCCCTCGGCGGCTCGGCGGAGCGGGGAGCGCCCGTACAGCTCCCGATGCGCGCGGCGCGGAGGTTCCGCCGGCGGCGGGCCAGGGGGCGCGGCTCGGGGCGGCCCCCAGCCAGCGGAAGAGACGGGACGGCGAGCGAGCGGGGAGGGGAGGGGACGAGACGAGAGGGAGGCGCCGCCGCCGCTGTCACAGCGCCGCCCGGCCCGCCGCGGCTCCCGCCCTTCTGGGCATGTGCGGCGGGGGAAGGGCCACGCCGGGCGGCTCTGCTACGGGCCGAGCGCAGGGCTGCGGGAGGTGGGTGTCGGATTGGGGGCCGCGCCGCAGCCGTAAGGCTGGCGGGAGGGTCTGAGCGCGGCGTCACCCGTTCGCCCTCGCCGGACGGCGGTCAGCGCGGTGTCCGGTAACGGGGCTGGGCCACAGCCGGGGCTGCGCTCCGCCCCGCGGGCACGGCGTGCGATCGGCAGAGCTCCTCTCGGAACGGGTAGCGGACGCAACCCGTTCGGGCGGCTGGAGGCAGCCCCGCGGAGTGCAGCTGCGTAGACAGAGCCTGAACTTAACGCGGACGCTTTTACAGCCGCTGCAAGTCATGCCTTTTATCTCACAAGTTTTGTCGGTTTAAAATACTTACTTTTAAGAGGACGAGTACTTGAGACAGAACAGTAAGTCCTAGCCAGCGGTTCTGTAAGTTCTTGGTTCAGGCTATGGGAAGTATCTTGCCTTGCGCTTACACTGAGTTTCTCATTCACAGAAACAGTTTCACAAATGCATATGGGCTTGAGCATTGATGTGCAGCAAAAGGATGAGCAGCAGTTTGACAAGAGGAAACATTTACCCATCTATTCAATGTCAGGAGTGCATTCAAAGTGCAATATCTTCTTAAAAAATATGTAGAGAGAGAGTCTAATAATGGTTTGAGTTGGAAGAGACCTTAAAGATCATGTAGTTCTAACTCCCCTTCCATGGGCTCGGCTGCTACCTACTAAATCAGGCTGCCCAGGGTCCAATCCAGTATGGCATCGAATGCCTCCAGTGCTTCACTGCCCTCTGAAAAACATCCCCAACATCTAATCTAAATAGCCCTTTTTTAGTTTAAAGCAACTCCCCCTTGCCCTGTCACCATGTTAAAAGGTGGTCTCCTTTCTGTTTATAAGCTCCCTTCGTGTACTGGAAGACTGCAGTGAGGTCTCCCCTGAGCCTTCTCCATGCTGAACAAACCCAACTCCCTCAGCTTCTCTTTATAGGAGAGGTGCTCCAGTTCTCTGATCATCTTTGCAGCCTCCCTATGGACCTACTCCAACAGCTCCACATCCTTCTTGAGATGGTGCCCCACCAGCCTGGATGCAGTACTAGAAGGGGCTTCGCAAGGGCAGAGCAGAGGGGGACAGTCCCCTTCCTCTCCCTACTGGCCACTCTTCTTCCAATGCAGACCAGGATACCATTGGCCTTCTGGGCTGCAAGCACATACTGATAGATCATGTTAATTTTTTAATCAACCAGGACCCCAAAGTCTCCACAGGGAAGTAGTTCTCCCAGTCTGTACATACATCTGGGATTTCCTTGACCCACGTGCAACACCTTGCATTTGGCCTCACTGAACCTGCACGTGTGCCCACCTTTCAAGTTTACCAAGGTCCCTTTGGATGGTATCCTTTCCTCCTGCTGTATCAACTGCATCACTCAGCTTGGTGTCATCAGCAAACTTGCTGAAGGTGCACTGTGGTCATCTATGTCATTGATAAAGAGCACTGGTCCTAAGATAGACCCCTGGGGGACACCACTCATCACTGGCCTCCAATTGGACATAGGTCTGTTGACAACAATCCTTTGGCTGCAATCATCCAAACAATTCATTATCCACCAAACAGTCCAGCCTTTGAAGCTCTCTCTCTCCAATTTAGAGATAAGGATATGGTGTGGGACCAAATCAAAGGCCTTGCACAAGTCCAGGTAGATGACACCACTTGTCCTTAGTTTAGGTAGACAAAATCAGTTGAAACTGATGTTCAGTTTCAGAAAAAAAGCAGTTACCAATCTAACTTCTATTGGATAGCTCATCAGAACCGACTTTGTCTGCTCTCAGGAATATGCATCAAGTCAGAGCAGGCCGCAGAGTTGCTCCGGGACAAAAACAATCATTTTATGTTATGTATCTTTGAATTTTTTCTCTTTTTATTAATGCATGGAATTATGCAAACATAAATAATAAACAGAAAATCATGCAGTCACATCAATGAAAATTTCGTTCCTAATGTATATTGTTCTCAGCCATGCACATAGTGCTAGGAAGAGCATCACAAACAGACATGAAAGAAAAAACACTGATGTTTAGAGAAGGTGTATTATTATTTTCACTTATCTCAGTAAAAATCAAATCCCGACTCCTTCACGCTGAGCAGTCCTTACGTGCTTTTCTCAGAACTGCAGCATTAATGAATGCTCTTTGTAACTTTAAGCTGTGAAACTTGCCTACAGTGGATTTACACGATCTGGATATAAATGCACTGAACTTTCTCAAGTTTTCTAGTATAAGAAAATCAATGTATATTCAAGCTGTGGAAACAAATGTTCTCCTATCCTTTCTTGGGCAGTACTTAGCAAAGAATTAGACTGAGGGTGAACAACTGATGAGCTAAGATTAAGCTCTTACTGGTTCCAGTACTTTTTTTCTGTGTTACAATTATTTTCAATCCTCTGTGATTCATAAAAGGAAAGAAGTAAATTTGTTTGAACACCATTTTTTTTTTCTAAAGGCCGGTGGGATTCAAACGAGGAGAGAGAAGCATTAAGATCAGCCATATGTTTTAGATTCTTTTCAAATAGTATCTTGTGATACATTCTAATTTTAATTTGTATTTCCATTTCCATAGTTTTCATTAGTCACCATCATTACTTCTTATTGATATGCTGTTGGTTTATTTTCTTATAGTCATTAGCTGCAAAGCTCTGAGTATTTCAGCTGGAGTCTTTCCCATCCACTTCAGACACCTCACTGAGACGTTATTACCTTGGTGAAATGTTGAGTGTCTGAGCCCTGGAAGAGACACGGTAGTAATCTAATCATCTGAGACGGGCAGTGGCCAGAAAGAGGCACTTCTGAAGACCTGCAGAAGATCTCTGCTGCCTCTGAGGTGCGTCAGGTGCTTCCTTCTTTTTGCTGACTGCAGAAGTGAACTCACACCAGCAGCAGGCGAGGCCAGCCTGTGGCTAGAGCCCAGAGAGCCTCCTGGAAAGCCATTGGAAATACCAGGAATGTTCCATGCACACATGCCACAGCTGATCCGTCCCTCCTGCGGGACTGGCGCTAATGAAGCGGTATATGATCACAGCTCTTCCACCCACATTTTGCATAAAGATGCATAAAGCCGTAAGAAAGGAAGTGGGTGATGTTTCTAGACTCTTAATTAAATGCTGAGCTCCAACTTCCCAGCAGAATGGCATAATCAGCAGCCATGAGGTATCGCGGATGCTAGGTATTGCAGCTGAAAGCTTGTGCAGGCAGGGAGGCAGAGGCACGGGGCTGTGGCAGAGCAGGCACAAGCCAACTCAAGGTTAGCTTCACAATTCCAAGACCAGCAAGGGCAGAGAATATGGGGAGTGAAGGAGGCTATGACCTGTTACTCACTTTGTTCCATGACAGTGTTCCCTTCAGCACATCCTGCCCCAGATTTGGCCTCTCGATTTTGCTTCCTTTGAGAGAAGAATGAGTTTCATTGGCTTTGTGTACTGACCTCACAGAGGTGTGGGATCAGTGGGAGAGGCTGGCCACACTTTGTACACAAGCATGGCACAGCAGTCAGGGGGACATACATTCGAGGAGCAGGCAGTATCACATCAGTCCCTTTCGATTCCACTTCCTCCCTCAGTTTAAGACGTGCGCTTTGCACTTTGCACGTACGTCAAAGCTGGTGGCCCACACCGGAAGAAGTGAGACATAATTCTTACTGCTGCTAATTTTTCAGGCTTCTAAAAGAGATTTAAATGTCTGTCTTCCTAAGCTGGATTGCAGTAGTACTTGAGGCAAGAGATAAGTGCCTATCTTCCCAAACATGTGTGGGTGAATAAAGTTAAATGCCCGAGGAACTTTCATGTTCAGAAGGGAGGTACTCTTAAGATTAGGCCATGCTGGGAAATAGTTGGGATTGCTGTCTGCAATTCATGTGGGTTTTTGAGCACCCGCATACCATTTTGACAGCCTGCATTCCCCTCTTTTTTTTTCTCTATGCAAAAAAGTGTCCTTTTAGGTACCCCCAAACTAGGCGTCGTCTTGCCTGCTATTAAGCACTTGAGCAAGCAGGATCATTGAGAGCACTCAGCTCTCAGAGAGCTCTTCAGTAGTTTGGGAGGGTTGTTTACCTGGAAAACAGGCAACTTTGCCAAGGGGAAGGCTGTCTGCAGCTATGCAATAGGAAGTCTCCAGGACTGCGAGCATACACCTCTACTATGAGCAATCATCTCATGGGACACAGTTACGTATCTAGTAATGCTGGGGCATTAAATGTGTGTAAGACCACAGGCGAGTCTAAGAACAGCCTTCTATGTATTTGTGTTGGTGCTACATTTGCCCATGAAGACGAAAGACTTTTGACCCCTCTCATTCTTCATAGATCTTTCACTCTTTGAGAAATTGGTCTAATTAGGAGAAACTAACCCTTGTCAGTGTGGCTACAGAGATAAGAAAGTGAAGCTCAGGAACAGAATAAACAGAAGAGATTTGAGTTTTGTAGCCTGAAGTTCAATTAATAGTAAAGAGGGGTCAGAGTGTCAGTTCATATTCTCTAAACAGCATATGTTTTTTAGGATGGAGGAAAACATGATGAAGATTGCTATTTAGCACCAAGGAGTCCTGGAATAGGGACAACTTCCCTTCCAGTCAAATGCTCTAACCACCAACCTATTATGCAAGGAGCACAATGTGCTGAATCTTCTTGCAGAGTTTTCTTAAATGACTGCCCCTGCAGTGACTATTATATTTGTGCATCGGAGTACTTGGCGTATGTCCCGCTGTCAGGATGTGCCTGCTCTGCAAAGCCTGCAGCATGAGCTGCTGGGACTGCGTGCGCTCACCCCTGCACACCTGCTACCTATCAGGTAGGATTTGAGCACCTTCCCCTGCTGCTGCCCACATGCAACTCAGGGAAGACTAAGAAACTGAAGATACAGAAGGCAGAAAAAAGCAGATAATTTAGAACAAAGTAAAATCTACAAACACGTGTGCGTGCATACAGTACTTCTGCAGGAACCTACGTATAATGCAGATGAAGTGTAACAGAAATACATGAGCTTTCGTTAAAAATAGTTTCTGCCACAAAACAGCAGATTCACTTAGGATTACTGGAAAACATATATGCCCACTATAGAACTGGCTTTGTTGACAGTGAAGTTGTGGAAAAGGATAGCCTGTGTCATACCTGCAGTGTGATTACTTCAGTGTTTGTACATTGATGCCTGCATGCACCTGTGGAATACCATACACAACACTGCCCAGGCACTAAGAGGATTTTGTTAAAGTTCAGCAAACAATCAAGAAGACACATAGTCCCAAAGAAGAGTTTTCCGGGGTACTTGGCACCTTCAGATCTCTTCCTTAAAGATGCTGTAAGATAAATGTGGCTTTCATCAGAAACTTGATTAGCAACATTCTCATGTAGGGGAAATAAAAAGCAGAATCACCACTCACAAGCTGGATGCTGTGAGTTGATCCACACCTCTATTTTTGTTGCTCTTTTTTTGCAACAATACTTTGCTACCATGTACAATATTGTTAAAAGAAGCAAGGATTGTGGGCAGAACAGAGCAGATGGACTTCCAGGTGCACATAACCTTGCCTGTGACCTTAGACAGACATGGCTATGACACTGCTGCTGCTGGTCATGCTCATGGTGCAGCACCAGAGTTCACTAGTCCCACCAGTGCTGGCAGTTCCCTGAAGACTGTTCTCACCTTATCATGGGCAACCAGCCACAGGCAATTGGAGGGAGCCCTGAGGGCATGACGAGCTTTGGCTCTGAGGACACTGGCTGTGTTGCACCCTACATGCCACAGACAAGTGGGAGACATCACACCACAACCCAGGTGTGGGCAGATAGCCAGGTAATGGAAAGTGTGAGGGTTTGGCTGTCAACTTTTTCAAGGGCGCAGGAGTGACAAAGTGTCCAAGATTGTGCGACACAGAAAGACTTGCATGGTTGGGGCTGCTGTAAG